AACTACATTATTACGATTATTACGATTGGTTTGGGTTTTCGAAAATGTGGGAAGATATTGGAAAACGCGACTTCTCAGGGGTGCGACATAGCAGGAGATTGACTGTATTGCAAAATCTGAACATGCTGAATACCAAAAGTGAACCCACACAACTAACACAGCACAGCCACATGATATGTGTATTAAACAAAAGTTGAACTTGTTGATAATTCAAGATGTGGAAATCACGATTATCTGTTCACGTATTTTCTACCGGCTGAGTTATCTGTTGAAGCAGAGAAAAACTCTCCCTTACAACGTGCTCTGTACAAATTCGAATTCCAATACTACACTACCTTAGTTATTAAACCCTTCTTTAGTTTAACCGAACTTCACTGGTCGTTCCAAGCCTAACAAATACACAAAGCAAGCCTGAATGTGTAAGCTGGATGGTATTTTTGAGGGAAAGGAAAAGAAAGTGAACCGCTATTGACAACTCAGAGAATACACACTCTTACTGTATATAAACACTTTGGTTGACTTGATAAGAAATAAAGGGAACGTTTCTGCTGCTATCCCCTTCAGTATTTCAAACCAGCCAGTTACAGAGTACTTTAAGACCCAACGTGCAATACGGGAGACACTGATACAGCAGGAATTTATCGTAGGATAGAGTTAGAAACGTGCTAGTGCTCATGGGTCAAAATCCTGTCGCCCGGAGAATGGTTAAGGGCTTTATGCTCTAACCGTCGTTTATTTGTCGCCAGTGTGACTTCACTCGCCGGTACGTCCCTTGGAATTGGCCCTCGATACAAGCCTATTCAGGGATTGCGTAATCCAGTGACCTCAATTAACAGAGATGTAATGTGCCACCATTCTGTAAAATACCCGTAAGTTATTCCACCTCATCCAGTTCATCGGCAGGAAAGCACTGGGTGTGGGTTGAACGGCTTTGAGTACTTCGCGAGTCTGATCTTAGCTATAAGTGGTGTTGGGGAAGAGATTGTATCACGAATAACAAAGACTAGAATAGCCTTTTCGAGACTATGTTGCCCCCTGGCGTTCGACTTCTTCTTATGGCAAATTGTGTAAATCGGTCGGTTTTTTGTTTCACCATTACCAAGCTTGGTTTACCCGTGCTTAAGGTCATAATTGACTATCTATATTCCACCACTGATGTCTCGGAAGCATTGGTTGTGTCTGCTGGGAGCATCGGATTAGCAATTACGAGGTTCTTCGTCGTACAATGGGTTCCCATCGTCGTTCCCTAAAGGAGGAAATCCTTGCACACTTCTTCCTATTGCTCCGTTACTTTTATCTGTCTGTACTTGTTAGACATGGATGAAAGAAGCGTCAGGGCGGTCAGATCATGACCTTATTAGTTTTATAGATAGGTTAGCTTCAGCATTGTTGGTTTTAATTTAGTCCCTGAGAAGACTGCTTCTGTTTTTGTCCGGCCTAGTTCGCTTTCTCCCGTCCTTCCTACACCTCCGTCACAGATATATATATTATATTTTCACACACGTCTGAATCCAGACCGTGTGGCAAACAAATCATGGAAGAAATTCTTCATGAACAAGAAAGACGTTCCATGATTTGCATGTGGGCGGAATACTGCCAGGTTACCCAGGCCAAGGCAGGTGAATTCTCTTGAGGAATCCACAACCGAAGCCTTTGGCTAGCCAAAGACTTGAGATCTTTTGTTACATATGCATGTGTATGTACTAGACAGCGATGGATATGAGCTGCTGTTTGTTATTTGTAAAACTGAGGAAAAATGATTACTTTATTTCCGAGCTAAATGACTTGACAGGTAGCTGTGAACGACCGTGATGTTATTTATCCCCCAGTCATGTCTGGAGTGATCTGCTAGTCACTACCGAAAGTCCGAGGTTACGGAAGCCACGTAACCTATGTGGTGCTGACATCCCCCTACCCTAAAGCATTGGCTCTCTTCGTATGAACACATTGTCCCGGTTCCGATTGACTTTGCCACTTAAACCCGCCCAAGAGCAAGTACTGCCATCAGTATTCTGCCACACCATCAGAAAACACCTCTTGATTCTATTTGAAAGTTAGTTCTTGGGCCCTCTTGTGGTAGGTGTCACACGCTATACCCATGTGTGATCATCTTAGACCATCCAAGTACTTCACAGAGCACTAAAACCCTGTGAAAAACAACGGGTGATCGGGAATTCCGCATATTCTGTGTGTATTAGTGTGCATACTCAATTGTTTTCAACATTTGTTGGGTTCTGCGGTGCTGTCTGTTGCAAAGACATTTAGCGTTTCATCCCATTGGTGACAAATCTGTTAGATTCAATTCGATCGGTCCTGATGATAACTCTAAAGAGGGAGCACTGTAGTCGAGTCCTTATCATGTTTACCTTTATTAGAAACATCGAATGTTATCGGTCTAAACCTGTTTGTTTCTCTATCCCGTCTTTCCATTTGTTAACACACAAACACAACCTCATCAAATCTGCTCCGATCCGTGGCAGGATGTGCTGGATGAGCGTGTAAAGGCGTTCCGTAATTGGAAGGCCGCCGAAGCTGCGCTCCGTTCAAAGCGGGAACAAAAGGTCCGATTTGAACTAGCTGGTAAAGGTGATCAGCGTAAAATGGCTATGCTGGATGCGGAAATCGAGGAGGTAGGTCACATTGTTTTTCCACTAAACTGATGATTATGCTTCGGATCAATGGTTATTTTTCCTTATATGATGCAATGCAATTTCTTTGTACATCATATCAAATATTTTTTTAATAAAATAAGCATGTTTACTTATCGCCTTTTTATTGTAACTGGTTTGTGACGTTGATTCGTCCGTTCTACCCTTTCTGGAACAGTTAGTCATCCAACTGATCGTAGTATCTGTGTACGATGTGAAATACGACACTGTTTGAATATTGACATGCGTTCTTCAAATTCCACCAGTGATACGTTGTGGGTGAAGTTCTCTCCTCACAACACAGCGTTACTTTTTTCTAAACAGTGGGACTATGCGTGGGTTTTCCAACACAGCAGGGATGTTTTGAGGTTTGTCTATTGCTTTTCCATCGGATATAATATCTGTCATCCTTCATTCCATTTCAGTTTTTACAACCATTAACCATGCACTTTCGTGCGCTGGTTTTGGTTTCTATCTTTTGGCCGCACATTTGGATAACAAAGCAGAATGAAGATCGGAATGTTGACGGCAAATTCAAGAGTACGATAGAGAATTCATCTAGACTGTGGTTTCGAGAATATTGGGTAGATGCACGAGCGCCATTGTATGCGACACTCAACCATATCGTCCTTCGTACTCGACACTAGTCAGATGGTTCATTTCCAATATATGAATGTCCCCATGATGAAGTCGAAAGATGAAATCGAGTCAACCATTGCGTCTGGTATTTCCCAATCGATTAGTCTGAATTTCGACGGTGAACGAGCGTGGTTGCTGGGTAAAGGGTAAGCATCCTCAACCCTGAATCACATTAGAATGATTTGGAACATCAATAGTTATATCGAAATGTATCGGCGAAAAAACGTTGGACGATCGCGGTTGGTAATTCGGAAGGACAAGTCAACCAACAAAATTAGAGAATAAGGCATTGCCAAAGATACGAAATCTAATATCACGAAGGATCATTATCAGAATGAATCTAATTCGTTGGCGTGATCCACCAACCATTCATTTGTTTCGTTTTCACTGAGACTAGTCCAGGAGGCAATGTTTCCGTAGGTCTGGAATGGTCGTCGGGACAGTGTGCGCATTGATAAAACCACGAGGTCAGCTTGACCACCATGATCGGCTGAATAGGTTGACTTTCTATTCTTCCATTTGAGCTGCTGAGACCACAAAATGTGAATGGTTTAAGTCAAGTTAGGTCGCAATAACATGAATTCAATCAAAGGGTTACCCAATGGCCAATTTTGAAATGTCTTCTAGTTACCTTGGATTCTTAATGATTTGTTGCTCGTAGCTTTTCATTCGTTTAGCGCACCTCTTTCCGCGGTGATCGCACTCAACTCATAATCTTTAAATTACCGCACGAAATGACAAGGTTAATGGTTGCATACATAGGAAAGCCATTCATTCTCACCTTTTCTTGTTTACCCCCTACTTCTGTTGTTCCACTCAGCTCAGTAACCGCGTGGATCAGGAAGAGGCGAGTTTTAAGAAAATCTCCCGAACAATCAAAGAAGAGTTCGATCGTTTTGACGTAACTCGTTTTGCCGATTTCAAACGAGCCTCAACAGAGTTCCTCGAAGTTATGCTTCACACCCAAGTGAAGGTAATTTGCTTGAACATTCAAGGATCTTCACAGAATCTCATTGATGTTTTGTCTTTCATTAGCCCGCTACACAGTTGCGGGTGTTCAATTTCATGATTTCGAGTTCACATTTTATTTTCTATGGGGACCGTAGCAGTTCGCTTTGTTTTCTCACAGAAAAAGCCCTTCGCCGGTATGGGCTGCAGCAAAGTATGTCTAGGGTAACCATTTGAAAAAGCCTCGTTCCCATCGGTCTAGCTCTTCCTCTTAATCCCGAATTATCCCAAATGCTTCCTGTTTACGCCACCCATCTGATATCACACAGCGTTTTACCAGTAAGACCAAACAATCAGTTATGATAGGATTTTGGACACCAAAATTCCCTTCTCATTTAGCCGCACTCTGTCCCAGATCGGTCAATAACTTGTCTCAGCTAGAACCATTAAAACTTTCAATTTAGAGGTATGTTTTGTCTCCGAAACACGCATACAAAACCCTATTTCAGTCGTCTTCCTGCATACTCCCGACCCGACCTCATCCTCGCGCTTCACCCTTCGTATGTCAGACGGTTCGGCATCCGACGCTCGCGGTTTTGCTGGTGTTTATTATTGCACTAAGTGCCAAAGCTTTGCGTTCAATTCACTGGATTCCAGTCACTAGCCGACTGTACGCTCTTTGTCTCAACGGTTCAGCACGGTTGGACAGCTACAGAAAGAA